TGATAAAAAATATATACGAGCAAAAAATAACGTTATTGCTAACTTATCTTTAGGTGGAAACTTGCTTATTTTTATACCGTCCATTCGCAAGATCTAAAAACTTGCCAGAAAAAAAAGTTATATGATTAGTAATTAGGTTAAGGTAACGCAATCTAGATCACACCATGTAAAGCAAGTCTATTCGGTCATAAGTTCCAAATGCTAAATCTATTTTGTTATTTTTTCTGGTAAAATTAACCCCCTTAGATTCGACGATCGCTTAAGGTAGATTTAGATCTGACGATTTCGGAGATGCGGAGATTCCAAATCCCTGCGACATATGAATTTGGATAAAACTACTGATAAAGAACGTTATACTCCTTGCCCTTATAGCCTTTTAAAGTCCCATTCTTATCGCGGAATTATATATAAGGTAAGAAAGGTTCTAATCGCTATTCATTATTAGCACTACTTATTAACTTAATAAAAAATCGACGTGGGAAAGTAATTCTGCATTAAGGTAACACCGCATAAAATTTAATACGAGCCAGTCTTGATCCCTACGATTAGGCGAACCATCACGGAACGATCACGGAAAGTCGCAATTTAATACGTGGTTATTACAGTAAAATTATAATTTATGTGTCAGGTGATAGAACGTGGTTGCATTAGTTGGCTTTTTCTAATAAACAAATATAAATTATCTAAGCCACTGTTGAAGTACTGTTCAAAATAACAGATAAGCAAAATATCAAATTATCAAATAAATCACAAAAAAATGTAAGATAGGTATTCAATCAACATTTGTAGATCTTACTATATCATATCGTATACGATAGCTAAATACGTCACAAGTTGTTAATAGGGCTAAACTACATATATAAAATACAAGATCATTTACTGCACCGATACTATTTAAGTATTGTTATTGATACACCAAAATTACCATGAAATAATGCGACAGTATTAGTGTTGGATTATTATATGAATCAAGAATGCTAATTTTCGAACGACTGGTACTTTATATATGTAATTTTAGCCCTGGTTATTAATCCCTAATGCTAATATAAAAAATGCCGATTATCAAAATTAACTAACTGCTAATGTAATTACCAAATATCTTTGATTCTAAAATAATGATATTTCTTTACAGGTATCGGTATATCTTTGAAGCTGTTAGTAAATTTTATTTACGGATAATTTTTTTTGTAAATAAATCTGTTCTAGCCTCAAATAATTACCTTAAGCCGAATAAGTCTTACAGCCCTAAATCCTATTTATATGAAACCGACCTTACATAATTGTTGAGTGATTAAAATATAACGATAACACGTATCGGTATGTACATACCTGCTGTGTTGAATTATTTACAACCGAATATAGCATGTTTTCATAGCCACATAACACCGATATAAAATCTTTCTAAAGTATTTTTTTACCAATATTTTACCTTCCAACACTAGATTGTTTTTGCGTTGATAAGACGGTAGCTGGAGCTATTTGTACAAGTATGCTTAGTCAAGCAAAAAATTTCGCTTCTATAGCAGAAACGATAGGGTCTCTGACTATGCGTGTTGTGAGACTCAACGGGCTCATAATTACCATTAGGTAGCTTAGTACTTAGGTAAAGGTTATTATCTGGTCCGCAAAAAATATACAATCTATCTATCCTTTATAATATAGTCTTCTTATGCTTGTAAAAAACACTATTGTAGAGGGCGTGATCATCATTCTTCTACATATGGGGCGTATGCAAGGAGAGGAAGGTCCAACAGACTTTCCAGGTTTTAAACCACCAGGCTACACCATGTAGAATGATATGAATGTATCCACCTTCACTCTTTGTTCTTATACTTCTTAGAAGTCATGCAAAAAATTTCGTCTCTATTGAGTGATAGGGCCTCTAACTTTGTTTTTCTACACTTACAAAAACACTTACCATTATAGAAGGCATGATCGTCGGCTATCATTGTCTGCATAGTGAGGAGAGGAAGATCACACAGGCTTTCCACGGTAGTCCACTGAACTACAAGATGAGAAATAGTTTGAATATATTCACCTCGCTTTTTATTTATTATACTTCTTCCTGGGATAGTCATGCAAAAAATTTCGTTTTTATTAAGCGATAGGGCCTCTGACTTAATATATTTAATTGATATTCATTCATTACAATACCTCTCGCAAAATTTGAATCCGGAATTAAGGAAGTATTAAGTTAATAAAATCTAATAGGTTCTATAAATCATATAATTGTTAAAAAAATATAAGACAAATAATCACTAAATATGTCTAGTTTAGATATTCCTATTATTATTGACAAAAAAAACAGAATATTATTCAAACTCTTTAATAATCATCCTGGATATGATATGAAGTATGTTATGGTATACTGCCTCAATTATACTGGTTATGGTTATGAGCAATATGTTAAACTCTTTGCAACTGAAAGATTATACGATAACTTGTCTATCGTAAGGCAGGATGAAAATCTTATTCAATGGGCAGTGCAAGTTAGAATTGATCTTCAAGATTTGTTACTCCAACAAAAATTTAGTGTATAT